TTCGATTGTTTCGACTTCACCATCCCCACAGGGACAAACCCTCTCATGCATGGGAGTCTTTCTAAAACACCCATCTAACACTGCGGAGGGGAGTGCTCGCCATCTGGCTAGAGAAAATGCCCTCCGTTGGGCCAGAATCTCCAGTTGAGAAAGGTACCTTATATTTTGTGTGTCCTGCAGTCAAGAATTCCGGTACTTTATTAATGTCATTTTGACGTTGAATATCCTGCATCCTTTGTTTGAGAGCTGTTCTCTCAAAGGCAGTTCTTGAAAGAGTTCTTTCAGCCTCACCTACCTCACAGGGTGTCTGTTGCGGGGAGGGGGAGGGAGAGGAGTTGCCCTAGAGTTGGCAACTGTAGCTGTTAGGAGACAAGTTAGGAGGCAAGAGAGAATGATTGGCTCAAAGGGACCGAGCTGGTTTTCGTATCAAGCAGTGATTTCACGCTGGGGAGAGAGTGAGAAGGCAGAGAGGAAGACCATTTGACTGGAGATGCCAGGGACTGAACCTGGGACCTTCTGCATGACACGCAGAGGCTCTTCCCCTGAGCCATGGCCCCTCCCCACAGTGGTTTGCCCCCCCCCCCGCGCCCCGCAGCCCTGCCCTCAGTCAGAGCAAGAAGCAGCCAGGTAAGCTGCAGAGACCCCCCGCCCCCCCCGGTCCAAAACAGTCGAGTGGCACCTTTGACCAAGCTTTATTCAGGTAGAAGCTCTCTCTCCTCTGTGAGGACAGAACTGCACGTCCCCCCCCCCAATAGCTAGCAATCCAAAAGAGTCCAGTGGAGCCTGAGTGGTGGGTGTTGCCTTCTGACACACTTCCGGTTATGTCAGGGTGTGTGACATATGCAAACGAGTTGTGCTAATGAGTTATGCTAATGAGCTGAACCTCTTTTTCTACGAAATATGGTGGTCCCACATTCAAGTCCTGGCCCTGCTTAACCTCCAAGAGCTGGTGAGATTGGGCTCTACCATGCTTCCTTCCCTCCAACTGGAATGGTACAACTCACATTTTATTTCCTATGTTGTAGACTGATTTTTCGCTCAACAGATTAAGGGGTTTTTTTGGGGGGGCGGATATGCTCAGGAACACCAACCATGGTGTAGAAACCATGCTTTTATCTAATGGCGGTTGTTCATAGCATCCTCAGATTATGTCCGATATAGTTCCAAACCTTAGATTCTGCGTGCTTCCTGTCGCTTCAAACCACAAAACACCCCAAGATTCACTGGGGCTGAATTCTAATTAGTTCGATTCCGAAACCCGAATTGTCTTGATGGAGCCTGCCTTTCAATGCGTGAACCATTTCCAATTGAAAATACTGAAAACCTCTAGAGCGTGGGAAGGAGAGCGGGGGGGGGGGAGCACGTTTGTGCAGAGTTGACGGTAATTATGACGATTAAGGGAAATTAAAGGCAATTCTGACTCTTTATTTCCAGGAAGCGCTTGCATCAATAATAAAACAGAATTCTGACTGAGAGCGAGAACAGGCAAAGCACGTATGTATAATGCATGCAGATTAACTCATCTGGACATTCCCAAGGGATGGGAAATTAAAGAAATAGAATCTGTCCTCGGAGCAAGGCGATTTCCAAAGCGAAATGAATGCTGTCAAAAGGCTCAGGCCGATTTCCCACAAGCAGCCGCGCAACCCTCGCTCTTCCCTGTCCCCCGATTGTATCCGTCAATTTCCCACTACTTGCTGCGCGGCGGCATTTTGACCCGCGGCATCCCCCGATTTCCCCTGCATTTTCTCTGTCTCAAAAAACAAGGATCGAGAAGACACCCATTCCTTTTTCTGCAAGACCACCTGATAGGATATTGGCTGGATGCTCCCATGCGGTCATGAGGGAAGCTGTGTATCGTTGCCAAGCGCTGCCGTCCCATCTGTGTCTCTTGAATACCACAGGTATACAAACACACAGACGCACACAAGGCACTGGCTCTGAAATAACACTCCTCCTAGACACGCTGCTGGTACCTTCTGCCTTGCACATATGATGGGTCCTCATGAAGTTCTTGGCACAGGTACACATGTATGACCCTTTGGTGTTGTTGCAGAGTTGAGAGCAAACCCCGAAGTTCAGGCATTCATTGATATCTGTGCAGGGCAGAACAGAAACAGTATTTCCATGCAAATCGCAAAAGTCTGCAGATGGTTACGTTCTTAGAGGTGCAGAAGTGGTTTTGTGGAACTATCCTGGCCTGTAGTGACAATCAATTTTTCTTCTGCCCAGCTAGATCTCTGGCTATACTTTCTACAGCACTCCAAGCCAAACCTGAGAAATGCCAGAACTAACTCTCAGCATTACACTATTAGAATTCTGAGAAATATGTTTTTGCCTCGTTCCCCCATCTAACTCTTGCCAGACATGTTTTGCAGTGCGTTTTTCTTCTCCAGGTGGCTTTGCTGTATGGTTACAGTGACTGGCTAAGGTCTGGTCTGGTTGAAGCCCGGTACCTTGGCAAGAATTCTTGTCTGTGACTTTCTGGAAGCCGCCGCGGCAGGTGCAGTACACAGCTGAGCGGGTCTGCATGCATTTGGCTTCGTCGCCGCACATGGTCACATTGGTGTGACAGCCATACGTCTTGAGATCTGCAAGCAGAAAACGGTAACGGACCATCCAGCACCGCGCAGCACCAACTGGAGAGGCAGGGGAACAGCTGGAGGTGGGTGGGAAGCAAGCATTTGATCTGCCTACCGCCCCGTAGGTGTTCATCGAGCCCAGCTTGCAGTATCCCCCTCCCCACTCCCAGTGTCCTCCCCCCTTCAGCCCACAAGCAGCTTTTCTGCTTTCCGGGGCTATTGGTACTTCAGTGATTCATTCCTTTCACCTAGCAAGCAACGGTCCTCGTCGGACCCGTCCCCGCAGTCATCAAAGAAGTTGCAGCGCAGTTCAGCCCCGATGCATTTCCCGTTGTGGCAGTGGAATTCATTCTTCTCGTGGCTGCAGTTCCTGGGCCTGCTAGTGGGTGACTCTGTGTGGTTGCAGAGAAGACAGTGAGAAACAAGGAAAGTCGGCTGCGAAGTCAGAGAACCGGGTACTCCACCTGTCCCTTTAGTTCCCCTCCCCTCAAAGGAGCAAGATACAGAAAATCTGGAAAACAACACATCTTGGTAATAAATACGAATGCATCATTCAGTCACAGTGGGCAGATGAGTTATCCACATCCAGAGGAGGGTTCCTGTTGCGCCTCTGAATGATTTACTGCTCTAGACTGGTCTCCTTTCAATGAAGGAAAACCCCAGGTGCATGAACCAAAGAGAACTGAGTGGGAAGCTGTGAGTTCTCTCTAGGAATGTGTTCTTGGTATACCGAGCCAAATAAATACCTGAAAAATGCCCTATCAGTATATTGGGGGGTATTTATTCAGCTGAATACAGATTAGACATCAGATTCAACTACCAAAATAGTCATGCCTGAATAAAAGCCTATATTATCTGGCTTTTATTCAGGTGCAGCTAAAAGGCATTTAAAGAGACTGTATTCTGAGTTCACTTGCAGCGCGACTCGGCGAGTGAAATTCTCCATTATACCCTACGGGAATGGTCCCCATAGGATATAATGGAGCTGAATAAATTCAGGTTTCCTGAATATTTACCTGAATACCAATACAATACCAAAACTGGTATTCGGGAATATTCGGGAATACCAATATTTTCAGGGTTTTGCAAGGCAAGAGATGTTCAGAGGTGGTTTTCCATTGCCTGCCTCTCTGTTGCAACCCTGGCATTCCTTGGAGGTCTCCCATCCAAATACTAGCCAGGGCCGACCCTGCTTAGCTTCTGAGATCTGACAAGATCAGGCTAGCCTGGCCTATCCAGGTCACGGCTTGTCTTGTCTTAAAGGTAAAGGTTCCCTTGCTCGAAAGCCAGTCGAATCCGACTCATCTCCGTTTCAAAGCCGAAGAGCCAGCGCTGTCCGAAGACGTTTCCATGGTCATGTGGCCGGCATGACTAAACACCAAGGCGCATGGAACGCTGTTACCTTCCCACCGAAGTGGTAGCTATTTATCTACTTGCAATTTCTTGCTTTCAAACTGCTAGGTTGGCAGGAGCTGGAACTAGAGACGGGAGCTCACTCCGTCACGCGGCACCCGTGTCTCGAACTGCAAACTACCGACCTTCCACAGCCTGCAGTTCAGCGTCTTAACCACTTGAGCCACCGCAGCTCCTTTTTTTTTGTCTTACCCACCCCTAAAAACCAACAGTTTGGGGGTATAAGGATGAAGTTATCTCAGCCGTCAGAAGTTCTGCTTTAGCTGCTCTGGGGTGTTTACTTATTTATTTGCCTTTCTCTTCCACGGAGACCCAAAGCGGCTTGCATCATTCTTCTCCCCTCCCCTCCATTTTATCCTCACAACAGCGCTGTGAGGTAAGCTAGGCTAAGTGTGTGCGACTGTCCCAGGCTTCGAAGGCAGAGTGGGGATCTGAACCTGGGTTTCCCAGATCCTAGTCTGATACCCTGACCGCCACACCACACTGACTCTCTGCTTCTGCTCTCCTCTGCTACAAACGGGAACAGGTACTCATGACTTAGAACTGGTGGGATGAGGGCCGGACAGCACTCTAGAGCCTGGGACACTTTAATATATTGGGTTTTTAGACTATATTTTACTATATTTACACCCCGCCTCTTACAAAACTGAGGCAGTTTTCAACACGTTAAAACGAACCTATAAAACCAGGATGTCTTCAGCAATAAAAGACAATAGACAGTGGTGGTGGTGGAAGGCTAGAGACGCTCAGAGGTGGTTTGGCATTGCCTGCCTCTGCATAACAACCCTGGCATTCCTTGGAGGTCTCCCATCCAAATACTAGCCAGGGCCGACCCTGCTTAGCTTCCTAAATTTGACGAGATCTGGCTAGCCTGCGCTATCCAGGTCAGGGCACCAAAAGACAGTATCGCACTGAAAAAGGAAGTATCTTCAAAGAAGGCCTAAAAATGCAAGACATCCAAGCATATAATAAACTAGACCAGTACAAGAGTGAGAAAACTAGTCATAATGAGTACATAAAGCAGGTGTGGTACAGTTTTGAAGACTTGATCTGGTGGTCGGAAGATCTGCAAGGATTCTGGCTACCTCCAGGGAGCAACGGAGGAGGAAGACACTCACCACAGTACAGCTCGTCGGTGCCGTCGCCACAGTTGTCGATGCCGTCACACTGGCGACCGATCCAGAGGCACACGCGGTCGTTCTTGCAGCGGAACGGTCTATTGGGGGGACAGTGGAATTTCACTGCACCAGCAAACAGAAACAAATGGTCAGAGTGGAAGGGGGAGCCGGAGAGACATGGAAATGCAAACGGCTAACTGTGACCTACGGGGAGAGTGGGGGGGGGACAACCTGTTCCCTACCCCCCCATACACCTTCGGCACCCACTTCAGTGCTGGACCCCTCCCCTGGAGCCAATGAATAGGGGGAGTCTGCAGAAAGAGGATGTTGCCAGAGAACCGGGCTGTCCCAGCATGCCAGCTGCTTTCCTCTGGGTGCTCTCAGCTTTTTCTCTTGCACGTATAATGCGCTTCATCGACCAATGTGGATCTAGTGCATGCAGTGCCCTTCACTTTCTCCATTCTGGAGAGCTACATGTGGGGAAATGCACCCCACAATCAGCCCCGTAGCTAGGGAATTTTTCGGGAGGGGGCCTTGGGGGGGGCACCAGCTAATTAAATCAAAGCACAATGCAGGCGGCAAGTTGGGGCACTTTGGGGTCAGCCCGGAAAGGAGGGGGCCCAGAAGAAACACTAGGGGGCCGGGCCCCACGTTAGCTACGGGCCAGCCCACAATTAATCCTCACATGCTTATCTGTGGTGCAGAATGTGTTCTTGGTTTTATAAATATGGAAGTAGGTAAGAGCCATAAATTGCGAATATTCAGTATGATAAAATTTGGTGGCTGGCCACCAGAAATATAAATAGGATCTAAGGACAGCTGATTGCTTTATTCGGATATGCACATTTGCATGCTGAGCCCGGTTGGCTAGAAATTATCTTTCAAAACGTGAAAGTATATTAATGGCTTTTTAGACTACCAGGGGAGAATTAATTCCAATTAGGAGAAAGCTGCATGTGAAGTTATTGGCCTGTATCCTGCCTACGGTTGCCAGACTGGGACATGGGGGGCAGCCATCAGTGACAGCATGATGGCACCTTGGGGGGGGGGGAATATGGAAGGGATGTCATGCCTCTCAAGGAATTGCCAGAGATTCTATGGTAAAACCACAGAGTTTTTGGCAATTCCTAGAGATCACTGACATTTCTGTTTCCCCTGGAAGTGAAATTGCGCCATTGGCCTGACGGTCATTTTTTTTTTTTTTTGTCTCCTGCTGCCACTCTGAGCAGCGTCAGGAAACTAGAGGCACGGGCGGGGCATTCTAAGCAGGGGGTTCTGGCAACCCTAATCCCACCCCTCATCTCAGCCAAGTTGGAAGGCCTCCTCCAGATAAAGGAACCTTCCTCCAACTTAAGGGACCTAGGAAATGTGGTGTTACTGCGTGTCAGTTTCGAAAACCTGCAATTTTCATATAATCTGTGACAATTTTTTCCCTTCCCTCCTCCCACAAAGCTGGCCTCTGTTTGATGATCATCTCTAAACCCAAGTTCCCTACATTTCAGTACCCACCAAAGTTAATGGCACCCCACTCTTCACCCAAGACTTCCAGGCCCCTTGAATTCCAGCCCTAGAAAGCCTTGGAAACCACCTTATCTCCCTCCACCCCCTCGAAGCCAGACTCGGTGGGAAGAGGGCCCTAATTCCTGCCTGGATGACACAGTGAAGCCTACTTAGATACCAAGCCATGGTATGGGAGAGCATGCAAGTCTCCAGCCTTCTGAGCCGACAGAGAGATGGGGAAGGGAAGAGGGAGGTTGGGGAGAGTTTCCCAAGAACCTGGGGACACTCACAGCATTCCTCGGGGTTCTCGTCGGAGTTATCGCCACAGTCATCCTCCCCATCACACTTCCAGGCCAGTGGCTTGCACAGGGTGTTGTTGCACTGGAACTCATCCAGAGGGCAGGTCCTCACTGGACAGTGGGAAACATACCACAGTGGGTCAGTCCGGGGGTTGCCTCATTTGAACCATGAAAGCAAAGAACTTGAATTGTCATCAACAGTGAGTCCTACCGATAGTCCCCTACAGGTAAACTCCTATAGATAAGCTGTCTGTTGGAGTGAGCAACTCAGCATGCCTGGACTCTAGGGGCGCTAGAGTGTGTTCAAGTGTTATCTTCTTGAATGGGGTGTCTCTCTTTGAATAGTCCCCTACAGGTAAACTCCTATAGATAAGCTGTCTGTTGGAGTGAGCAACTCAGCATGCCTGGACTCTAGGGGCGCTACACCACTCTAAGTGTGTTCGAGTGTTATCTTCTTGAATGGGATGTCTCTCTTTGCCTTAACCTGGGAATTGCCCTTTGACCCCTCTTCTCTCTGTGTGTTCTTTGTTCTCCCTCTTTCTTCACATGGCAATTCATGGAGTCACATGTGTCTCGACAGGTCTCTCCTGTGGAAACAATGCCCTCATACCTCCACATACATGATGCCAGATTTAGCTGGCCACTCGTGATAGGGAAAGTACTCTTTCGGTTAGGCTTCTCTGTTTCCTTGAACTGCAAGCTGAATTTGAACTGAATCTACTTGAATAAATATGTTTTACTTTATGCAATAAACTGCTTGGGAGATTTGTTTACTACACTCAATATCGTGCTTCTATGACCGGGCAAGCTCTGCTGTATAAGCCAAACATCCCAATACTGTTCCTGACTGCCAAGGGTTCTTTTGGAGCACATTCAGAGTACCCGTGCACCGTTACTGACAGCTGCACATACAGACACCATCCCTCCAGTTCTGCCTTCGTGACGGTTGCCTTGGCACTAAGTGTAACGAGACCAGTACCATCGTCTCTTGGGGAGGAGGGAGTCGTGAAGACGTTCTTTACCTCTGGTGCTGCAGTTCTCCTCGTCACTGCCGTCCATGCAGTCAGCATCGGCATCGCAGCGCCATCGCAGGGGGATGCAGTGACCGTTCCTGCAGTGGAACTGGTCGTGGTCACAGCGCGGCTTGCATTCTTTCTGCAGGGAGCAAAGGAAGGAAACACGGTTACCGAGCCCTCCTTTGGTAGGTCAGAAAGACTAAGCAAGATTATACAGCAGGAGGACAGTTATTCAGATGATGTTCTTACAGTGCAGTGGAAGAAATTTGGAGTCCAGGGGCACCTTTAAGACCAACAAAGGTTTATTCAAGGTATGCGCTTTCGTGCATGCACGCACACACCTTTTCAACTATGTTGGAATGGAAGGTAAGAGTTCAAACTTATAGACAGAGGCTGAACAGCAAATTAACATGTAACGTGATGAAGATGTTTTAAGATATGCGAGGACAAAAACATCTTAAGTGATGTCATACCGGGATGTTGAGCGGGGGTACTTTTAAGCTGGCTTTACCATAGAGTCTTGCCCTCAAGCCAGAGCATCCCCACGTGGTGTCCCCATTGTGATGATGTCCTGGAACACCTCCCCAAGATTATACAGCAGGAGGACAGTTATTCAGATGATGTTCTTACAGTGCAGTGGAAGAAATTTGGAGTCCAGGGGCACCTTTAAGACCAACAAAGGTTTATTCAAGGTATGCGCTTTCGTGCATGCACGCACACACCTTTTCAACGTGATGAAGATGTTTTAAGATACGCAAAGATAAAAACATCTTAAGTGATGTCATACCGGGGACGTTGGCCATTGAACGTGATGAAGATGTTTTAAGATATGCGAGGACAAAAACATCTTAAGTGATGTCATACCGGGATGTTGAGCGGGGGTACTTTTAAGCTGGCTTTACCATAGAGTCTTGCCCTCAAGCCAGAGCATCCCCACGTGGTGTCCCCATTGTGATGATGTCCTGGAACACCTCCCCAGTCCCCCCACCGGAGCAATGAGGGGACCTGGCAAACCCACCACAATCTTAGACTAGAGTAACTCTACATAGGTTTGCAATGCAAAGTACCCCGTATTTTTTTTTTATCATGAGAGCTCTTACAAATTCTTCAGCTTCTGGGTTTTCCCTTAACTCGTGTCCTGTTTAATTACATTAAAAGACTTCAAGCCAACTGCAGCCCGGTCCAAAAAACAAGTGGAAGCTTTCAAATCGCTTCGGGTTCTCCACGTCTTTGGCAGCTCACGTGTGGCGCTCCCTTCCGCAAGATACCACAGCGGGCAAGAGTCTGGTTCTGCCCCACCTTGTCCCCTTTGCCGGCTTTCTTCTTACCTCATCAGACCCATCGGCACAATCGTGGTCTCCATCGCACTTCCAGCGACCGGCGATGCAACGCCCGTTGGCACAGGAGAACTCGCTTTCAGAGCACGGTCTGGGTTCTGTCGGGAGAGAGAACGCAGGGGGTGAGGGAGCTGGAAGGTCACAGGCAGCAGAGGAGCAAGGACTTGGGTATTGTCTAATTCGGGGAGGGTAACGCTGTTGCACACCCCCAGCGGCACCAGTGGATAGGTACAAGTTGTTCCTAGCAGAATGCTTTCTTGTAATTATACCAAAGCACAGAGAGTTCTTTGGAAGATGGCTCGATTTCAACACAGGAATGAGGGAGGACAGGTAAAGCCACAGATCTTTGGGGAGGAAATAGGCCTCTGGGGGCATAAACTCATTTTGCTAAACTCACAGCTCCTGGTAGATTGTGGCACCTTCCCTAGCCAATGTACTGCATTTGTGAATCAGCAGAAGACCTGCGGTGGCTGGTTAATACCTAAAGAAACATCTCCCTGTATCCCTGTAACAGTGTTGCAGTTCGGGTTACCAGACCCCCACCTGGGTCTGGGGAACCCCTGCTTTTGCAGGGCACTTCCCTGCTGCTAGCCAACTGGCTAACGAGGGAAATCCCGCCCCCAACTGGCCCAAAAGGCAACATGATGTCATCACCTGGAAATGACATCATCTTGTCGCCGACACTCTAGTTTTTGGGCAAAACTCTATGGTAAAATTGGCTACAATCCATAGAGTTTTGCCCCAAAACTAGAGCATCACCCCCCCGACAGCAGCGACGCAATGACATCACTTCCGGATGATGTCAATGCGCTCCACGTGCGCAGAAGATCCCAGAAAGGACCAAAGATCCCCCCGCTAGCTGCCAGGTAGGACCTGGCAACCCCTATTTGCAGTGTTGGGCCAGGAGGGAGCGTGAGGGCTCGTTTATACCATCTACAGGTCAAAGGTTAACCTGTCAGGACTGAAGGTAAAATCATCTGTTCTGCCCGACATGAGGCTGCCACAGAAAACGGCAGTCATGTGTCCCCTTCTCCAGTCTCCTCCGTAAGCCTTAGATTTGCAAGATTTCGTCATGTATTCTCTGCGGTAAGGGAAAGGATTTTGTAAGCCGCTCTGAGACACCTTTGGGTAGTGAAGGGCGGGGTATAAATCCAATCTCTTCCTCTCCTTCTTCTAGAGCATCACACACCCCCGACAGCAGCGACACGATGACATCACTTCCGCATGATGTCAATGGGCTCCACGTGTGCAGAAGATCCCAGAAAGGACCAAAGATCCCCCCGCTAACTGCCAGGTAGGACCTGGCAACCCCTATTTGCAGTGTTGGGCCAGGAGGGAGCGTGAGGGCTCGTTTATACCATCTACAGGTCAAAGGTTAACCTGTCAGGACTGAAGGTAAAATCATCTGTTCTGCCCGACATGAGGCTGCCACAGAAAACGGCAGTCATGTGTCCCCTTCTCCACTCTCCTCCGTAAGCCTTAGATTTGCAAGATTTCGTCATGTATTCTCTGCTCCACTTAACTGGCTGTCTCTGTGAAGGTGGGGAAACTCACAAGTGTGGTGTCATGTCGTTTGTTAAGTAAGCCACGTCAGAGCTGGAGATAGAGGAGGAGGAGGCGGCACGTAACTGTGGTTTTCTGTGGCAGCCTTGCGATTGCCATAATGTACTGCACCAGGCTGGGATAAGAGCTCCTGCCTGCAGAAACTAAGCAAGGCGGGTGGTGGTGGTTTCCAGTCCCAATCCCTTATAAAATATCTTATATGATTCAGAGGTTACATAATGTTCCCTCGGGAACTGGAAGCTCCACCTCACATAGAGAACAATGCAACTCTCAATTTATATGAGTTGTGGAAGCAAGCCCTTAATGCCTTTATCTTGTCATGGTTGGTTACACCTCTTCCAATTCATTCCAACCAGCAATGCATCTCCTGAGCCCTTAGTTCTATCAAGAGCACTGCAAGTAATCAAAACACTTAGACCGATTTCCCACAAGCAGCTGTGCCACCCTCACACGTCAGAGCCGGAAATAGAGAAGGAGGCGGCGGCACGTAACTGTGGTTTTCTGTGGCAGCCTTGCGACTGCCATAATGTACTGTACCAGGCTGGGATAAGAGCTCCTGTCTGCAGAAACTAAGCAAGGCAGGTGGTGGTGCAGAAATCGGTCAAAACATGGCCATGTAGCAAGTAGTGGGAAACTGACTAATGCAATCGGAGGAAAGGGGAGCGCGAGGGCGGCACAGCTGCTTGTGTGAAATCGGTTTTAGTATTTGTACAGGTCTTGGAATGTTCAAGCCCTTCACATCGTCTCAATAACTTTAGGACAACGTTATCAGGCAAGGCAGTGGTACTATTCCTATATTACAGGAGCAAAGTGAAGAGAGAGTTGACTTTCCTAAGGCTTCCTAGTAAATTCATGGCTGGGACAAAATGTGAATTGTGGACTTTGAAGCCACAACACTGTAGAATTCAAGATCTGTTTTCTCATGTCAATATGTACCTATTTGTGCCCCGAAAACCTCCTAGGGTTTAGGGAAGGTGACTGATTGGTTGGGAAGCATACTTGGCCAAGAAGACATGGGGGATACTTCTAGAATTGTTGGTCTGAATGCAGAAATGCCAGATAACTGCAAAGTTTTCTCATGGGTTGCCCCCACTCAGTGCCCACTGGAAATGCAATGCACAGGCTAAGAAGAGACTGAATGTATGCTTGCTTGCAACTGCCCCATCATCTCATCCTTTCGGAGAGGACTCATGTACCATTTCCCAAACCTTCTGATTCCTCCAAGGTGGAGACAGCAGAAGCATTAGAAAGGAAGGGGGTAGGTGGGGATAGTGAGCAGCCTGGTTTGTCGGGAAGAGGGGTGGAAGTCAAGGAGCCAAGCAAATGCCACGCACAGAAGCCCCCTCCATTCAGTTCGGGGTGGGGGTGGAGGAGAGGGATACATGGGAATGCAGATAAAGCCTCAAAGCATTCTTATTTTGTTTTTCCTTTCAACACAATTAAGGCTTTAAAGGGGAAGGGGGAAATATATTGTTGACAGAAACCTACCTCTGCAAGCCCCGATACGACAGTGTGAAAATGGAGAAAAACATAAGATGAGGTGAAATGGTACAAACTCAAATAACACGACATGGAAAAAAAAAGAACCCGCTGAGAGAAGGCTACTGGCTAGACTCCGCAGGGGTGGGGGGGAGTCGGAGGGGGCGAGCAGTGGCAGAGGCCCCTTTTAAAACCTTTGCCAGAGGCCTGCCCAGGTATGGAACTACCTCAGCGTCTCATGATTTCTCTCAGGTATGGCTGCAATTGTCACGTGAGAGGCCAAGCCAGTCGTATGGAATTTACTTCTTATCAACCATTGGCTCTCATCGGGACGGCCTTTTTTTTTGTCTTCTACCACTGGGACCAACCCATGTGAGCCAAGTTCATGTGTCAAAAGTGATGACAGAGACTGAACATCTTTCTCTACGGACGGTAGCAGCTTTTAAAGCAGAGGGAGAAGAGTCAAACATGAAGTTCTAACTGCTTGACTGAATTTTAGGACGTTCACAAATCAATGATTTAGGACGGAGTAGTAAAAATCACAATGGCATGTTTGTGAGGCAAAACCAGATGAGACACTAGAACTTCTGTGTCCAGAGTTCCCAGTGTTTTTAAAAATCAAATTACAAGGCACACAGGGGGATCCAGTTTAGATGAGGCCTGGGGTATGTTCCCTCTAAGCTGAGTTAGTGTGAGCTAGCTCACAGTTTTTTTAGCCTCTGGCTCACACATTTTTGTCTTAGCTCAGGAAGGATGGCTCCAGAGCAAGCAAATTTATGCAGTAGCCAAATCGTTTGCTCACAACTTTAATGCCAGGAGCTCACAAAGTAGAATTTTTGTTCACAGGACTCCATAGCTTGGAGGCAGCATTGGTGCAGAGTAAAGCCCCCCTCATTTTCTCATCCTGAAACGACTCTAAGCAGCTATTTGTCTTGTTGGGATAAAAATACAGGTATCCCAATGTATTCCCCCAGAACAGGTAGTTCCTTGAGGCTATGTCAGGTAGGAAAAACAGTGCAGGGCAGAATGTTAGCTGAGATCCCCCCCCCCCCCCAATTTTTCTCAAACTATTGGTTTTTTCTCCTTTTCTTTT